CTTTCTTGTACTAGAGGGTTTCCTAAGGTGTTTAGGACTCTTAGAATGAGTTTGGTTCGTGGCTTTAGGCTGCCTACCTCATGTATAAATAGAGGGGGAGCGTGAGTCTTCCCGGTATCGCTTTTGAGAGCAATTGAGTTGAGTTTTGAGTTAGGGTTGTAACGAGTGCTGTTGGTGAACTTTGTAAACACAGAGAGAATCAATAAAGTTGTCATCTACTTTAAGAGTTCTTCGATTTGTGTTTCACCGGGTTTTGGCGGTCTAACCGGCGGCACACCGACGGTCAGACCGGCGGTGTAACGCTCCGCTTTTCGTGAGACGTTAAAAACTAATTCGGCAAAATCTTATATGCGAAAATTTCCGTTCTTTGTGTGCGAGTCTAAGTTGTGCCAAGATCTCAATTCAAATCCGTCCTTGATCCCTCTCGTCACCATCAAAAATTGCCTCCTCGAAATTCCTCTTCCGACTCAAGTCTCCAAATCAAACTCTGAAATTCTATCCCTCTCTTTGAATCATCGCCAAAATACTTCCCCGGATCCAAAATATCCAAAACCCCATCTTGAATCCTCCGTCTACTCCTTCCTCTCATCCAGATCCCAATTCCAAAATCTAAGTCAAATTCCAAGTTCAAATTCTCTTCGAATCAATCTCCTCCGAAAAAGTCTATTTTGCCTCCCTCGAATTTTTGTGGGCCGTTTTCTCCTCGGCCCATCTCCTCTCAGCCGCTCCTCCTCCTCCCCCTCGCACGTGCGTTGCGCGTGTGCGCTCGCTCTCTCCTTCTTCCTCGCTCTCTCTCACCCTTTCTCTCTCTCTCTCCCTCTCTCTCATTGACTCCCGCCGACGCCGCCCAAAATCCCAGCCACGCTGCTGATTCTCGCGCGCATGGCCGACCGGCAAGGACGCCGCTCCCACGCGCCTCGCCTGCCCGCCGCCCAAAACAGAAGGGAGAGGCTTCCCTTTCCACCGTCCTCCCTCACTTTTTCCCTTCTAAACCCGGCCTCTCTCCTCTCGCCCTTGTCTTCTTGCGCGCGGAGGCAGAGGACGCCGACAACGTCCTGCCGCGCCTGTGCCCCCACCTTGACCGCACCACGCCGATGCTCCCGCGCCCGCGATTCAATTCCCGCCGCACGATCCACCGCCTCCACCGCCCCTTCGCATCCTCGCCGTCGCCACGTTTCGCGCAGCCCGCGAAAACGCCGCTCCCGCTCGTGACCGCCCGCCGAGCGCCAGTCGAGCACTCGACCGCCAAGGTCGGTTTCCCTCCTCCAAACCGACCTCTCCTCCTCACCTATAAAACCCAAGCCCGAGCTCCCCCTCTTTTCTTCCCGTTTTACTTCCCTCTGCCGCCGCGCCATTGTCGCCCTTCCTCCGCCGTCGCGCGTGCCGGGAAGCCGACGTGCGCACGAGGAGTCAACGAGGAGCTCTGCGCCGCCCCATCGCCGCACTCCATCTCTCCTTCCCCGGCGCACACGCCTCGACGCCGCGCCGCCTCAGCGTCATCCGCCGTGCGCCGCCGCTCGGTCGCGTGCCACCCTCAGCCTTCCAACCCTTCCCATCCCCAACTCGCCGCCGACACCGTTCCTCCCATCGGTGAGCTCCTCAGCTTCCTTTTTCGCCGTCCCCGCACTCGCGTAGCTCGTCGTGCGCTCTGTTTCCGCATCACCGCCTTCTTCCTCCTCGTACCACACGCGGTGCTGCTTCCGCCACCGAGCAGTCGCGCGCCGTCGTCGGCCCTTCTCTCTCGTCTAACCAGCTCGCCGTCGTCCTCCCGTAATTTCTCGCGCCCCCTCTCTGTTTTCCCGGCGACACCCCACTCAGTGTTGTGCCGCCCCGCCGTAGCTCTGCTTCCGCCGCCGCCGTGCGCCGTCGCGCGCCGCCGCCGGCCGGTCTCTCGCCGATTCCCGGCGCCGCCACCACCCCCGAGCCCTCTCGAGCCTCCCCGGCGCGCCGCCGCGGCTGCCCGCCTAGCCGGCCGCGCCCGCGCCGTGCCACCCATCCCGCCGCCGCACGGCCGCCGTCGCCAGCCGCCGCCGCGCCGCCTCTCCCTCATCCGCACCGTTGAATTAGCTCCCCTTGATCCCCGCTTGCTTCCGGTGCACGCCGCCCCTCCCGGTTCGCCGCCGCTCGCCGGTATGCACCGCTCGCCGCCAGCCGTCAGATCGGCCGCCCGGCCTCCCCTCCCTTTCCTCCATCCAACGTGGCTGTCCACGTGGGCTTGACCGGGTCAAGCTGACGCCCCGTCAGCCAGCCAGCCCCCCCCCCCCCCCCCCCCGCCCTCTCTCGGCCTCGCCAGCCGTTGGGCTGCGCTGCTCCCCCGGTCCAATCGACCAAAGTTCAGTTATATTCCCTCATGCCGAGCCCAGTACCCCCACCCAAAAGCTAAAGTCCATCTTGGCTCCCTTCCCAAACGCAGTGACCAAAAGTCCATATCTGCTCCCTCCCAATTCACCTCTCTCACCATATGTTGGTCCCACGTGTCAATGAGTGATAAAAGAATATTCTTGAGAATATTCTTTTCCATAAAATTTATAAATCATTGCCCGCATTCAAAAAAAAATTTCGACAAATCATTTCCTTGTCCAGAAATTCCAATTAAACTCCCAAAATTCATATCTCCCGATCCGTAATTCCGATTAACCCCGTTCCACTTCCAGTATTCCCGTAAAATCGAGATCTATTTAATGGCACTATTATTTAGTCTAAATAGGATCCTTTTCTTGGTCTTTTGTTTAGGTTTTGATTGATTGCGTATAGTTGCGGTTACCGGATTTTTGTCGATCGTGGGATTTCTCGAAGATTCGTGAAGCTTCGTGAAGACCTTGAGCAAGGCAAGTCACCCTTTGATCATTTGCTCCTATAATTGGAAATTCATTATTATTTTGTTTTCAACTTGCATTAGTAGAATCACACACTTAACTTGCTTGGCCTCGGTTTGCGTGACAAACCGACGGACCTACCCAGCAGTCGCACTAATTTCCGTAGGTCGTACTACCCTGATTCCTTGTCGCTCCACCCTTGTGGTACCTCGGTATTCGTGCTCTCTGAGCGCGTATACCAAATATCCCACATACACCGTTGTTTGTCGAAAACTTGGGAAATGGGTTTGTGAAGCCTTCAAAACCCGACATGTGGTGTCGGTGTGTTTGAAAATAAAATGAATTGTGAAAACTCGCGATGCGGGGGTTGTGCCTATGTGGCACTGTCCCGTATTCGCATATAAGGACCGATTCCTGTGGGAAACTCATCGAACATAATCAAAGTGCAACCACAAGGTGGAATGGGACACCCTGGCTAAGTAACTAGTCGGTTCAGGGAGACCTCGCATGCCAATAGTTGGGAACGCCGGGGGGGTCGGTTGGAGCCAAACCGGGTTCCTGGTAATGCAAGAACGAGAAGCTTGCTGAATTACCGATCGAGGTGGTTGGAGTTTGATTTGTGAACGCCTAAAATGGCCTATGTTTATGTGAGGATTTGATCCTTCTATGTGGCATGAGGTAACCCTGGGTCGGCTTGGGAAAGGCTTTGTTGCGAACCTCCGATACCGACGGGTGTTCGGAATAAGTTCGTATCTTGTGGGTAAAGTGTACCCCTCTGCAGAGGTTAACTAACTGTTCGAACAGCCGTGCCCACGGTCATGGGCGGATGTGAGGTGGTTCCCGTTGCGTAGATTTGTTTGCCTGTGCTTTGTGAAAAGTTGTTGTGGTGTGGGAATCGTAACCAGAATCAGCCTATGTGGCAGATGGACGACCTGAGTGGTCAGAAACGAATCTGTGTGATTCGAGATGTCTGCGGGCATCATAGACTAGGCTTCCCGAGTGGAAGCGGATTGTTGTGCTACTGGGCAGCTGGACTTTGGGAGTCCGAGAAAATGAAAAAGGCTCTGGGAGCCGATTAATCAAGTGGAATGGCTCTGGGAGCCGAGAAGTAATGATCTGACCCGGGAGGTCGGTACATTACTAAATGAGCTGTTGAAAAACATCTCTTAAAGTCGAATAGAGACGCAAGTCTCTTTTCGGCCCAAACTTAGAAAGAAATAAATCACTTAGTGATTTCAAAATGTCTTCAGATAAAAGATTTGCAAAACAACCTTGCCTCTCTTCCAAGCTTGCATTAAACACCTAAGTTCCCGTGACTTGCTGAGTACGAAAGTACTCACCCTTGCTCTACATATATATATATATATATATATATATATATATATATATATATATATATATATATATATATATATATATATATATATATATAGTTCCTCCGCCCTGAAGAGAAGATAAAGTGAAGTGAAGATTAGGGTTTCGTTCTGGTTCCCAGCCGTCGCCTGTGGTGTTGGGTGTTAGACCGTTGGTTCCGCTGCTGCTGTTGTTGTTGGTGTTCGCCTTGTCCGTGTCGTCGGTTGTATTCTCGGGCTGTCTGAGCTGCAACCTAAGTTAAGGTAAATAAGTCCTCTATTTATTTTAAGGATTGCTATGATTCATATTTGTCACCGTGGGTACCAGCACTATGTCCTGGGACAGGTACCGAGATCGCGGTTTCGTAGGAAGCGGTTCACGCCGTTTTCCCTACGACACGCTCCTGTCAGGTGCCGTTGTACGGCGGTATCAGATTGGGGTGTGACAGGCGGCATCGCGGCGGTTAGACCGGCGGGTACACGGCGGTCAGACCAGGGTCGGTGACAGGCGTCAGGAGCAGATCTCGGAGGTCAGACCGGAGATTCAACACCGGTCAGACCGGCTAATCTACTCTGGTCAGACCGATCTCATCGAAATTGAGGGTAACTTTTATTTCCGCTAAAAGTTTTCGGTTTTTGGGTATATCAACCATTCACCCCCCTCTGGTTGGCTTAGTTCTTTTGATTCGATCCTACAATTTTGGAAGATATCATTTAGTGTTTTTCTTTTGTGGGCATGTCGTTTTCTTTAGACTAACCCTGTATATACTCATGTATACTTTGTTTCCTTTCTATTAATATACGAGGCTAAGCTTTTGCCATCCTTTCAAAGAAAAAAAAACATAGCCAAATCTATTATATAGCAAAAGAATTTACATCAGTATGAAACTTATATGACTATATTTCTTGGATTTTTGTAAAAATAAAAGGACAAAGAAATGATCAAAGTCGTTATACCACAAGTCCACAACGAACAACATGAGTTCTACTATGTTGCATCTTCAGTTCTCGTATAAGCACTTGAAGCTTGTTATGTGACAGAAATAACGAAGAAACGAGGCTCCTGGCCATATATATTGGAACCAATAATAGTGGGCGTGTGGCTTCTGGTTCTAGTCCTCATTCGACTCCACACGGCCGTCGGTGCCGGCAAGCATTCGCTACTTCTCCTTGCGCGTGATGCCGATGTGCTCGGACCCCAGCTGCCCGGCGAGCGCCTTCTGCACGTAGTTGGCCACCTCGACCGGCGACTTGCCGCCGCCGCCGGAGGTGAGCTCACTCGGCAGCTGGCTCAGGAACGTGACCTCGTACGCCGGCCGCGGGTTCATGAAGAAGAAGTAAGGGTCCATGCCCTTAAACCCGCGCGCCGTGGAGCCGTGGAACATGGTCTCCCTGGTGGCGATGGCCACCGGCACGATGCGGTCGGTGAGCTCGGCGAACAGCGAGCTGAACCGCAGCAGGAACGCCCCTCGGCAGGTGGTGCCCTCGGGGAAGGCGACGATGTCGACGCCCTCCTCCAGCAGCCGCCGGACACGGTCCGCGTCCCTGTCGCGCTCCCTGCACAGCGCGACGGCGGCCTTGACCGGCGAGGCCGTGAGCGCCTCCGGGAGCCTGGAGCTCATGCCGTACGTTTTCCGAGGGACGCTGTACGTGACGCAGATCACCTTGCGGCCCAGCGCGGCGGCGACGGCGACCTGGTCGAGCACGGTGCGGTGGTTGCACACGAAGAGCACGCCGGGGCTCCCGTCCGGCGGCGGCGGGCGGCCGCGCACCACGAGCCCGACGCCCGTGAGCTTGTAGGCGTAGGAGAGGACGCGCTCGGGGAGGAGCAGGCTGAGGCACGCGCGGAGGAGCGCGAGCGCGAAGCCGACCGGCATCCAGAGGAAGACGAGCAGCGTGTTGATCGCCGTCGGGCGCTGGGCGAGGCGGCCGTCGTGGAGGACGACGGTTCTCAGCAGCTGGCTCTCCGGCACCGGCCGGTGCTTCCGCGAGGTGGTCACGACGTACGCGTCCTGCATGCATGCGTGCACGTGCCACGTTGATCAAGATGCATCATGTCATGCATAGTTCACGTGCATGAAGATGCAAGTATGCAACGGAAATACAGAATAATGCATGGGTCGCTGGTTAAATGGAGAAGTAAAAAAATTAAGGACGCTAGTAGATTAGAATTTACAAACAGAGTACCAGCTTATCCATTATGTAAATCCATCCAAAACTTGCATGCATGCCCGGTAGGTTAATTAATTAACTTACACGGACTAATCAGCTTATTATCATATCAGCATGGTTAACTACTGATTAACTGTAAGTTGAACCAAAGTTTACCCGGTGCTATGTTTGCCCGGTTGCCCCAAACAGCATAATATCGATCTTGACATATGATCGTGATTGTGATGCTCCATCGGAAATTTGGGATCCAGTTATACTAGTAGGACCATTACTTGCAAATATAATGGCCTACCATGAAGCAAAACCGTATTAATTCAGTGCAAACTTCCCAAAGTTGGAGGGAAGAAACAAGGAAATCTGTAGATCATGCATGGCTAGACTTTGGTTTTTCATGTCTGTCTAGCAATCACAAATTTGCTTACGTTCATATTCTCCCTGGCCTTATTTGAGGACATAAGTACATCACAAGTATAAATTCCTACCGAACGGTATTGAGTGGGACCTGTACCAGATATCATGAAACAGACAGGCTAACTCAACCATCCAACCAAGCTGGAGTGATCACTGACAGGCAGCTGCCCTGCTATGAGCCATTAATTGTCCAGTTAGCATATTTAAGACATGAATGCAGGGAACTTGGGAAGAATACGACGTATATCAGTTGATGCAATCCGTGAAAAGAGCTAGATTCAGAGTCACCTACAGAGAAAGGATAACGAGAAAGCAGTGGACGATATCAATGGCACAACTACCTCTCGACTGATCATCTCACCGGTGAATGCAGACACCTAACGTGGAGAGATTGGTCCAGATCGATTAATGCCATACTACAATTATCCTCAGCATAAATGGCAACGAACAAAATGCATACTCGTTGTACTATTCAGTGTATTACATAGTACAAGGAATTAATAATATATTGTTTGTACTGTTGCAGTTAACCTACTTATATATGCCAAAGGGACCACCTATACATTTGTCGACAAATTTTCTCCTAAAAATTTGACAGATGTAATTATAGTACAGTGGTAGTGTAATTACACTGTAACTTATATGTAATTACACTGTAACTTGCATGTAACTACAGTGTAACTTATATATAAGTTTCACATAATTTTGAATCGTTAGATCTATTACAAGATTTGTTTTGGTGAGGAAGAAAACAAATCATAGCACACATATATATGAAAGAATTTATTCCCACAACCTCATTTTATCGAAATAACATATTACGGAGATATTTTTGAAAATTACATACAAGTTACACTATAGTTACAGTGTAATTACATGCAAGTTACAGTGTAATTACACTACGATTGTACTGTAATTACATCTGTCAAATTTTTGTGGTAAAATTTGTTGTCAAATATATAGCAAAATTGTATGCGAAATACTAAGTACATCTCTTTTCAAAAAAAAAATACTAAGTACATAATTGTGCGGCCACATCGCAAAATTCCATATGCAGATATGCTGCCTGCAGGTTGCACTATAAGCTACTTGCCGTTATAAATGTACTGTACCAAATACTAGGACACACGTAATATGAACATGTGTGCTAGTACAATCCTACCTCTACTTTTTAAAAAAGAACTCATTTTTCTACATTTAGACAGGCAGTTGTCCATGTGTAAAAGCAAACTATTTTTGGAACTGAGGTAGTAGTAAGTAGTTAAGGGAATAGGCAATATTCTTTGTCCGTACCTTGCAGATGGCCATGAAGTCGAAGTCGCTCTCCCTGTCCCCCATGCCGACGTCCGGCAGCGCGTCGCCGAACTCCCTCACCACCGCGTTCCTCTTGTGCTCGCGGATGAGCACGCCGGGCTTGGCGACGAAGCCGGTGGCCCTGCCGTCCTCGCCGACCTCCAGCTCCGTGCCGATGACCCTGTCCGCGCCGAGGAACGCCCTCGCGAACGGCTCCACCATCACCCTGGGGCTCGCCGTCACGACGCACCTCCTGCCGAACGAGCTGAACACCCGCCACCCCTCCGGGTGGACGTCGCCGGCGTAGAACCTGGGCAGCACCGACCGCGCCACCGACTCGACGTCCCTCACCTCGAGACCCGCCACGGCGATGTACAGCAGCGCGCGCACGGCGAGGGACTCGGAGATGGTGACGTACGTGAGGTAGACGAAGGGCACGGACATGAGCAGCGCGACCGCGCGGAGGGGGCCGCCGGCCTCGAGCGCGACGAGGAGGTAGTACGGGAAGGCGCTGCGGGACAGGAGCAGCGTGCCGTCGAGGTCGGAGGCCACCGTCTGCTGCGACCGCCCCTCCGTCGAGCACTGCTCGATCGGCTTGAACGGCGACATGCTAGCTTACCATGCAACGAGGGAGACACGGAGCAGCTAGCAGAATGCAGGGGTGTGCGTACGAAAGGAGTATACTAGCAGAAATGGACCGATCTATACGGGTACATGCAAACTAGCAGTGTGTGTGTGCCTCGATCGGTTGAACATTAAATTAGACAGCGAGGATGTGCGTGCTTTGTCGTGATCAAACTTAATTAACATGTTGTTTTCTCAAACGCCAATGAAGTTCATTTTCTCTGAGGGGATTTGACGTACAGTTTCATTCAAGGTGAAGCACAAATAAGGTTACTACACACGTATTCAATTGACCTCTGGGCTCTGGAGCATTTTGTCCTCAGAAAGAAAACAAGCAAATTATTGTACTCTACTCTCTAGAATCCTAAATCAGTTGGTGTCAATAAAAAAAGAATCCTAAATCAGTTCGGGATCAAAGAGGTACGGTGTATCATCATCGAGCGAACGCCCGTGGGCTGTCCATGGCGTATTTTCGCCTGGACCTCTCCATATGCTCCCTTTCGCAGTCAACGGCCAACGGCCCACGGGCGTTCGCTCGATGATTGCCCGCCGCATCGTACGAGCTTTCAAGATTGGGCCGATGAGGTGCTAACGTGTTGTGGATTGGAATAAGTTCACTTCGTGACCCTCAAAAGTGATCGAAATCTAATCCGTGGCCCTAAACCACAAAACCGGATATCTTGACCCCCAAACTCTTAAAACCAGTGTAATTTGACTCCCTGGACGGTTTTGGATGGCGGTTTTGCTGACGTGGCGTCTACGTGGCTGTATTGAACGTGTCTCCTTTACACGCGACGTTGACGTGGCGCTTAGGTGGCATTAGAATTTAAAAAAATAATTCATTTATCATTCACACAGAGGATGACATGCGGGGCTCACTGACATGGGGACCCATTGACAAGTGGGACCCACATGTCATCCTCTCTCATCCCCTTCTTCCTCCTCCCTCTCTCTCCCTTCTCTCATTCTCTCCCCCAGCCTCTCTTCACAACCGGAGCGGCAATGGGGATGGCGGCGGTATCACCGGGCAGGAGCTGGAGCGGTGGTGGGGACGGCAAGGGCGGTAGATGCGGCGGCCATCGACGGGCTCGTGCTAGATGGCGGCGGCAACCATCGGCGGGCAGTGGGGACGGCGACGGCGACCATCGGCGAGTGGGCGGGCGAGGACCGGCGAGGGCGGTAGATGCAGCGGCCATCGACGACGACGGACGGGAGCTAGAGTACTAGCAGCTGTGCCTGCCGCTGCCGCCGCCGCCGCCTGCCGAAGGGGAAGAGAAATCGTCGGGATCTCGTCGCTCGACGCCGCCGTCGCTGGGACGGAAGGGGCCGAGCCTGCCTCTGCCGCTCTCCGTCCATCTCCGGTCCTTCCCTTCTCTCTCTCTCTCTCTCCCCTCCCCCTTTGCTGCGCTGGAGTGGCGGGCGAGGCCGGTGCGGCGGCGGCGACGACAGACAAGGGCTGGAGCGGCGTCGGTGGCTAGCGAGGGCCGGAGCGGCGACGGCGGCGGGCGAGGGAGGGAGGAGAGGCGGCGCCCCCCGAGATTTCGCCAGCCCGCTGCCCCTCTTACGCCCGCAACGCCGACAACATCGTCACCAGGGTCCCCTCCTACGCCTCCACCCGCCCTTGCCCGCCTGCCCTCCCGCCGCCGCCGCCGGCGGATCCCGCGCGCCGCTGGCCCCCTTCAGCCGTCACACGGCCGCCACTTGCCGAAGGGAAGAGAAATAGAGAGGGGGATGATGATTTATGTGGGCCCCACGTGTCAGTGGGTCCCACCCACACTTTTGGTGGATGAGAAATGGGTCCCACATTTTTTTATTTCTAATGCCTCCTGAGCGCCACGTCAACGCCACGTGGAAAGAAGACCGAGTCAATACCGCCACGTAGACGCCACGTCAGCAAAACTGCCATCCAAAACCGTGCAGGGAGTCAAATTGCTCCGGTTTTAAGAGTTGGGGGGTCGAGATATCCGGTTTTGTGGTTTAGGGTCACGAATTAGATTTCGGTCACTTTTGAGGGTCACGAAGTAAACTTATTCTTTGTGGATTTGAAAGATTAGTGGGCCATCGCGCTCGGTCGGCTGCATGCCTGCATCTCTTCATCTCTTGGTGCAACGGTGCAATCACGATTCACGCGGCAAGGGTCTCATCGAGACTGTGATCAGAGAGAAACTTTAATCAATTCCCCGCCCGCCCGTCTCACTTTGCTCTGTATCCAACCCACAAACCTTAGCGTCGATGTGTCGGAATCCAAAATTCTCATCGAATCGAACAAATTTGATGGTTTTGTACCGCGGTTGTTCTAACCTTTCATGGTAGATTGATGGCAAGGACGTCACGAAACTAGAGTACCTAGTGCTTCATAGCTTCAAGAAAAGGTGGGGAAAGCTTAGCGGTGCTCACTCCACGTAGGGATATACACTATCCAAATATTTCAATCGAGCTTGACATAGCGAAAAGGAAGAGAGCACCCTATAAAGACAAGATAGGGCACGAACTTTCTTCGGAAGCTCGGTTGCTCTGCCTTGCATATACATCGACCACTTGGATCTTTTGCAATGACGACGACATCCCAAATTTGAGAAGATATGAATACGTATGTTGTCCTGCTTGGGCGACTTGCCACTGCCAGTGCCACACAAGCAGGATTGACATGCTAACGCTGACACGGCAGGCCGATCAGGAACGTGGAACAGCCAAACAACAGCTGAGGTGGAAAAGGAACGCACAGTGCTACGAGCAGCTCGCTATCTATCTGTTCGCTTCTCTCCTGATCCGTTGCGTAGAGTAGCTCTGGATAACGCGGCGCACGCGCGACACACGTATAAGAACATGTGCTCGACAACTTGTACGCCCTCCTCCTTGACTCCCCTTCTCCCATCACGTCATGCAACAGGCACGCCAAGGAAAAAAGAAGCGAGCTCATCCGAGCGCGCATGAGCTGCGATCCTTGTAGTGCGTTTCGTAAGCAAGCTAGCACACTAATTAATGGCCTGTTTGGTTGATACCCTGAGTACCGTGCCTGAGAAAATTGCATGACTATCAGGCATAGAAGAAGCTGATGAAGATGGCCTGGTCATGCAGCCTGACATTTTACTTGTTTGGTTGTCTACCTTTGCCTGAGAGGAAGAAACATGATTAGGATCTGGATGAGAACCGCTAAGTCAGGTACTAATTATAATTAGAAAAAAACACAAGGAAAAAAATCCCTAAATCCACGCATCTAGCAAAATCTGCAACAATTTCTTTCAGCTGGTTGCCAATTGATTCAATCAAACAAACCATGAAAGCCTTCACGGTATCAGATCTGGAATGGCTGCAGTACCTGTTTCCTTCCCGTGCTTCACGCGAACGGCGGATACAAGTACAACAAAGCGAAGCAGCAGGATGCAGAGGGATCCAGCGAGTCAGCCTCTTCCTCGGTGAATCCAGCAAGGGTGGAGGTGACTGATTCACATGACGGCGATGGAGACAACAACTGCAGCAGCTCCGCGTGACGATGGCGGCGGCGGCGGTGGCGGGGGCACGCGTGTAGCTGTTGAAATCCTATCGTTCTCTCCACATAGAAGAAGATTACGGTGGTAAGTGGACTCGCCTGGAGCTCAGACGACCTATTTTGGTCGCCTGGCTCAGGCTAACGACGTGCGGGAGGACATCAGGCCAGGCGTGGAATCTTGAGTCTCAGGGAGACAACCAAACAGCCTCACGTTATACTCAGGCAAGCAATTTCTTCTCAGGGCAGCAACCAAACATGCCCAAGCTACTCCAGTTAGCTTCAAGATTCAAAAGACTAAAAGAACTCGACCTCCTCTTTACAAGGCAGAATTACACACGCGATGTCAGATGTATATTGGCATATGGTACGGGCGTGTCAATGTTAAAGGCGAATATGTACGCAGCCGCGAGCATGGGCCGGATCAGCCCGGGAGGACGCGAAAGCTGCGCGCTGATGCGCCACACCTCTCGCGGCTCGCTCGTGTGATGGGCAGCGGCCGGCCCGATCGCCCGCGCGCGCGGAACGGATAGCGGCGAGATGTTACGGCTACGGTGAGGCGCGCGTCACGTTGCGTACGCGGACGGTAAGAAATGTGCGGGGAGGATAAGGCGGGGGTGGAAAACCGGGGCGCGGCGCAGCAGGTGGAAGCTGGCGACGGAGTTCTCTCGACGGATCGGGGAGCAGAGCAGAGCAGGGGATAAGGACGGCTGTCGTCGGATCGTTGGCGCCTCGACTCTCGCCTGGTCCCCCTGGAGATGCCAAGGCCAACACGAGGAGACGAGGGGCTGGTTTGATTTGAAATCTAAATTAGACTTACTAATATTTAGCAATTTAAATAGTGCTTAGTATTTATTTGGTTTGAAGCCAAATTTTGGTATGCCTAAGAAAATAGGTCATTTCAATAGTAAACTTAGCCTATTTTGGCTTTAATCCAAACACAGCTTTGCTTTACTAAAATTAGTCATGCCAAAACTTACCAAAATTTAGCATTGACAAAATTTGGTAAAACCTATTTAGACCACAGACTAAACCAACCCGAGGAGAGGGGGATTTCATAGGCAAGATTTTACTGTGTTCTGCACGGGGGCCCTAGCATCCTCCTTTTGATACTGCAGACAAGATTGTGAGAGATTTGATCCACAGATGAATGAATGAAGTGCCAGGGTTGAGGGAAAAGTTTGCCTTACTACTGTGGTATCAGTAAATCTGCACATGCTCCTGCTGCACCATCGGTTGCACCGTCGCTCTCTGTCCCTTTGTAGTACGTAGTACCTGGGATTATGAGCTGACACTGAGCGCGTCATTTTGGATATTCCCATATAAACACAAACAACTGACGGTTTACGTTTAAGCGTACAATCTGAACAACCCTCTCCACAATGGTCCACCATCACTTCATGTGTCTCTTCTTTTGGGGAACTCACTCCATGAGTCTTGACTTGTTTTCTAAAATGAACTAACTGCACATGCAATTGCAATTTACTGCGAGTAAATTACATATGGTATCGTGACACGCGATTTAAAGATAGTCGAGGCAGAACTTATCGCTGGCCGCTGGAGTCTGAAATACTCCTAGTATATTGTCCATTCAAATCGCCGAAAAATGAGAATCTCGA